TGTGTGTGTGTGTGTGTGTGTGTGTGTGCGCGCGCGCGCGTGTAAAAATAATACTTGTTATAATACATATATGACAGAAATGATACGTTAATACGTATAATTTTCCAGAAATGATACGTCGATTTTGAAACTTTTTTTATTAATAACTTTTTAACGAGTTAGGTCCGACGGTTTAAACTTCCTCAAGGTCACTCAGGGTCATGACCTTGACAACATATGTCAAGGTCAAGGTCATTGGGGGAGGTTCCCCTAATCTACATTTTTACCAAAATTTATGTACAACTTATATAATTATATTAAATATGTTGAGTTTTTAGAAATAAGAAAATAAGTGTTATTTGCATTAATTTGAAAAGTTAACTAAAATAAAAGATTATTACATTATATAAAAAAGATAATTGCACAAATATAAACTTTTATTATGAAATATTGGTCTTTATTAATCTCATTATCGCTGTTTATTCTTTTATAAAATATTAAATATTAATAAAAATAACAGTCTATAGAAGCATTGTATTATTGAAAGTATCGTCTTATTAAATTATCACGAACTCTTCGCCCGGCTGTCAATTCAGGATTTCTATTTGCTGTACCTATTTCTGGTTCACGTATTGGATCTATATCATCCAAAGCAAAGTCGAATAAATCACCTTCTCCTTCAGGTATAGGTACCTTGTCGTGAATGCACATATTATGTAGTACCGTACAAGCGTTAATAATCTTTGAACAGAAATCTGGTTTATAATGTAAGACTCTATGCTTGAACAAGCAACGAAATCTCATCTTCAATAGACCATTACAACATTCAATTAATGATCTAGTACTCATTTGTCGAGTGTTATATCTTAATATTGCATCATTTTGTTCACCGTTTAACATTGGAGTCATCATCCATGGTCTCAACGCATAACCGGAATCACCTGAACAGGCAATGTAATTTTATAGATTAAAATTGGGAACAATATGTAATTACTATTTAGAAATTTGAATAAAACCTAGTAAGAAAAATTGATGCCCACGGTTGTAAATCTCACGCATTAATGGAAGAATATCACTGTTATTCCAAATGTACGAATCGTGAGTGCTTCCTGGATACCGAGCATTAACATTCAAAATCCTAAGATCATCAGGATCACATATCTGTAAATAAAATTGTAATTCAAATCAATTTAAATTAATTTTTATTTAAAATTGTAATTATTTTATTTGTACAATTATCTCATTGCATTATTTTTTTACCAATTGTACATTGATAGAATGATATCCTTTTCTATTTACATAGTTATGTTCAGGAAAATTTGCATCTCTTCTTGGAGGTGGAAATATTGCAACGTGAGTACAATCTATACATCCAATTGCTCCAGGAAAATGCTTTTGTATCCAAAATCTTAATAAAATAAATATACACTAACAGCAAACTATATATCATTTTGACATCAAAAAACATCGTTTAGATGTCAGCTTGCTACCAGGATATGTACAGTATTCAAATTATAATGTCATTTTTCTGAATATAGACTTGACTACATTACTTGTTACGTATATCTTGTAATTCCTGTATGTTATTAGGAAAGTACACCCATGTGTGAAATACTTCTGGTAAGTTTAGAATATTAGTAACGTTATGAATACATCGGCTGACTGATGTCTGACTGATACGCATATGAACATTACTTCCAATGCAATTTTGATAGCTACCAGACGCATAAAAACGTAATGCGGTTAAAACCTTAAAAAATCATAAATTTTTTGTTACAATCAATTTCATTCCGCATGTTTCATCTAAGCTCACCTGTACAATAGCATTCAAAGCTGAAGTTCGTGCTGTTCGATGGTACTGCTGAATGTTCTTCTACAATATTTATTAGTCTGATTGTAGTATTTTTTTTTAATCGAAAGAGTTTAATAAGGTAAAGGTAAAATATAGGGCAATCCTCTTAAAAATCGATTAAATTAGACTCATTCGACGCGTTTTTGCATAAAACGAAAGAATTTCGCAGAAATAAGCGTCGCTCTGACCCGCGAACCGAGATATTAAACGTTAAAGTTGACGATTATCGAGGTTAGAATATATGTCATGGTCACGTAACACTGCGATGTAAGCATGCGCTGCGGTCACATTTTCATACTATATGACCACACGCGCATGCGTTTTCATAAGTATGCGCCCGGAAAAGAAAATAACCGCTAAAATTGAAACGTTCATTTGTTTTGTAATGTGCAGTACACGTAAAACAGTTTATTTAATAATGATGCTATCAAATTTTATTTGTTTAAGTGCCAATAGAGAAAATCTAATTAATTATCTCATTCAGCATGCAGTATTGTCTGCTACAACAATTTGTAAGGAATGTGGAAGTCTTATAAACTTAAATAAAGAAACGTTAATGTTTACGTGCAATAAAAGCCGTTTTGTGAAAAATGTTCACAAAAAACGTATAAAAAAACAGTGCAATTTTAAAAGAAGTGCTCGAGTTGGAACGTGGTTTCACAAAAGTCATACGGATATAGAATTAATTTGTAGACTCACAGCTTATTTTATAACTTTTCCACCACCACGTGTACAGTTCCTGACATTGGACACTGGCTTGTCTAAGCCCACGGTTATTGATTGGCTCAATTTTTGCAGAGAGGTACAGGAATTTTTTTTTCAAAAAATATATAAGATATTAATATGGATAAAATGTATATTTACTTATTAATATTAAAGGTCTGTGTGTACTGGGCAGAAAAACATGAAGAAAAGCTTGGAGGCCCAGGACACATAGTTGAAGTGGACGAGGCAAAATTTGGCCGCAGGAAATATAACCGTGGGCGAATAGTTGAAGGCCATTGGGTATTTGGAGGAATCGATAGACAGTCGAAAAAAATATTTTTAGT